GGCCGCGGCCAGGTGCCGGGGTCCGAATTTGCTGCATGGGTCGGATCCGATCTCTCTTCGGAGTGAGCACCCACGGGTGAAACCGAACGGAACTCAAGCGTTTCTGCGCGCAGCGGTCGGGTTCATGAGATCCGCAGATGGGCTGAGTGGTTGAGGAAAACACTGAGCATAGATGAGGGTCTGACCTACGGCCTCGGTGGGTTGATTAGAGGGAATTCCCCCAACAATTCCCAAAAGGACATCATTGACGCTGAGTATTATTCAGATTTATATGTGTAGTATACGTATGGATCATTACGGATCTAATAATCCCATCCTCCTATTAATAAACACGGGCCCCCCCCCCTATTAAAAAAACCTCGGTCGCATTTTTTCTAATAGGGGGTCCCTGAAATCGGGGGGTCCAAAAAAGGGTCACCTGGGAAGAGCTTCAAAACCAAAAAGTAAATCCGTAAAGCTTTATATAAAATCCTTTATTAAACTCGTATCAAAAATGCAAAAAAGCTCCAGATCGAAGGGTCTTCCTTTTCCCCTACAAAAACCTTCATTAGAATAGTTATTCTTCAGTAGACTAACAGCTAAAGCTTTCGAAAGGTGATGTCGCTGTGCCATGCGGTGTTGCATGACCTCGGTGGCAAGTGCGTTTGCGTGAGTCCGTGCCATTATGAAAGCCTGCTGGTGTAAGCGCGGCGTGTCATGGTGGATAGACAGGGCGGACAGAGGTGGGCAGTTACGGTTGTTTTTGGGGAACCTAATTAAAAAAACTACCCCCAAAATCGACCATGTTGGTAGTTTAGTAGCGGCTTGAAAGGGCGGCAATTTAAAACCAAATATAAACCGAATTTAGGGGTTCGGACGTGGTGTTTTTTTAATTGGGGAGGGTTTATTAATAGGAACTCGGGATTATTCTAGTAGAAGATTGATTTCAGGATATTTGGTGGCTTGGAATTGGCCACCGTTTGTGAGGAACCCACCGCTGAACCACAAACCACTCCCTTTTGGACCAACACTTCGACCACCAGTTTGCCCTATTGGCAAGTTGGTCACATATCCGAAAGTGACAAAGAGAAGAACGCTTTGATACCTACTGACCATCGTCGGTATCGATCGAGGTCAACAGGTCTGTTCCGTTCGCATAGCCATGGTCAACAGGTCTGTTCCGTTCTGTTCTTCAAGCTTCGTTTCTTCTGTTGTGGTTTACGGTATCTGAGGGGATGGAGGTGGTCCCAAAACGCCCAAGAACGGGATTCGAGCCATATAACAGATGTGTACACTGACCCCCGTGAATGGATATGTTATTATAGATGATTTCACTGTGTGCTATGTATTGCTGGAATCTCATCTATTTTTGAGACAATCCACATGAGCTTGATTCATTATATACTGTACATGCGTCTTCTTTAATTATTGATTTGGGGCAGACATCGGCAACTTGCAAAAACCAACTCACTAAAGTTTCCAATTGAAGCGGTTAAGCTGTTGAACGTAGCTGACGTAGCCAGTTTTGACCACTCCATAGATTTATCCGTTGGATGCCTTTGGTTTTTTGTAATGTCTGAAACCACGTGAAGCTTCACTCTCCGACGGGGCGGACGGGTCCAATTGAGGAACTCGCAAAGTGAGGTAACTCTGTGTATTTGAGGAACTCGGTCAGTGACACTGGGCAGTCCACGTTGGGCACCTTTGCATGAGGAACTGTGAGAAACCACTAGTCCCAGGCCAGGCCGGTGTTGATGAGCTTGAGGGTCCCCTCAAGCTCGGTCAGAGTGGAACTTGACCGAAGACTGGGTGAAATCATGAGTGAGATGGAAGACTTGAATGTGGTAAGAGCTGCAAAACGACCTCCCCAAGAGGTGCAACTGCGGACCATGGGCCATGTTCTTGTCCACCCGAGAGGTCGGGGGAGGCTTTTCCTCAAAATGAACCAATTTAGAGGCAGACCATTGGCTTCAAAACTGAAGCTGAAGTCACATCATGAAATTCTCAGTTCTTGGAGGCTTGGAGTGACAAAACGCATAGAATTCTAGATCTAAGTAAGGAATGGTGGTAATGTGCAATTACTATTCTACCGGCCTTTAGTTGTATGTTTTAATTCTCCATTAACCAGCTTCATGAAAATCAATTTATTGGGTTTAGGTTACTTGTACTGTATAGAAACAGTTGGTATCATTTAGTATACCGTCTATCCTATCTCTCCATTGCTTTTCTAATTTCCCACTCACGATCCATCCAAGAATTAACAAAGAAAAGACTGGCAGTGGATTATTGGGTAGTTGAATCGTTGGCCGAGCTGGGGTCTAAGGGTCTCATACTATTCCGTCTCATACTATGAAGACAATTGCCCATCCTCCCAACGGTCCCAGAGGAACTGGCTGTGACAATTTGAACGGGAACTTGGTGGAGCCAAGGCGCCGCCCAAGTGTGCAGTGGAGCCAAGGCGTTTTGAAGCCCGTGCAACTCAATGGATGGAAGTGGAAGAGATGAAGAGATGAAGACATGGCTTTTTGGAATGGGGCAATGTCTTTAGAGGCCTCAACATCACTTTTCCAAGCGATTTTAGTGTGAAGCAGCTTGGTTCAGTAGTTGACTGCCCACCAGTTGGATGAAGAAATCACTTCCATGTTGAGGGGGCCCAGTACATCCAGCTCAGCGCATATCTCAATGGAAAGCACTTGGTGACCTACTCATGGCAGCTGGATGCATTGGGAGTTGGGTGCGGATCATTTCAACGCCCCTTGCATGGAAAAAGCCAGCGTGCAGGGTTGCTTGTTGACAACTATGAGCGATGCACAGCTGTTTGCAAAATCAATGATAGGGGTCCTCCTATCACTCAAGTCGCCAGGGAGCAGTTCTCCGCTTGTTCGGAGATTTCCGGTTGAATAAGCCTGGGTTGGTGACACTTCGCACCCCTTGGGTCATTGTCCTCAAGAGCTTCTTGAGCATGCTCCGTGTGGGCACATCACGTGGCGAAGTGCCCCTAGACCCGTCTTCGCAGAGGCGTGCGTGTTCTGGCGTCACGAACTTTTCGAACCATGTACGTGTGAGTGAAGCGTATTCATTGTATATATATATAATTGATTAAACTTGTCACGAAAGCTAGCTGTAGCTAGCTGGAGTCTGTCTTGCTTTAGCAAGGAGGGTGGGAGCCGAGGACCTGAGTGCAGACACCTGATTTATCAGGCTTTGCCCCCCCCCCCCGGGTTCAACTCCACCCTTCTCCTCAGTACCTGCTGCTGCTTGGTCTCTTGCTGCTTGCATGCTTGGTGCTGCTGATTGCCTTTGGCTGCTTGCTGGTTGCTGCTGACGTGTTGGGGCATGAGCGAAGAGTTCGGTGGGGGAAGCGGGTGATGAAGAGTTTGGTGATGTTTGGTGGAAGCATGGCAGTAGTTGAGTTTTCCCTTTGTGCATCCTATATTAACTATATTATTGTCACGCTGCCCCAACTCATGTCATGGTACGGTTGATGCCATTCATGCGGTTCAGGGTTGCTGCACTTGTTGCAACGCAACGAATAGACACTCTCAGGTGCGGCGTGGTTTGGGTTTCTTGAGGTGACACTTGGTCAGGAATCGAGGTGCGCCTACTAGGTTTCCGAAAAGATCGCACCTGCAACGCAATTCTCCCCGCTTCTTTCCTTCTCTCCTTCCCCAACCACTTGTCCCTCCCTAGCTTTCGCCACCCCCCCCTGGGCCACAAGTAGGGATGTCATTTGATGTCAAGGTCCTGCAGAAGTGGAAGGCCCGGTAGGATTGGTGTGGCTTGGCGTATCGTGGCTCAAAGTGGGCCGCCTGCAACTGCTGTCACAGCCCCGGCTCAAGATTGTAAGAGTGAATGATGAAGAAAACAAAAGACATGATATCAATATCAAGGATAATTATATGAGTTGTGCCATTGTTCCTTCTACTCTCCTTGATTTGCTAAATGATTGGTGTGTGTGTGTGTTTTGGGGGGTTACGCGCGCAGTACTTATCCTGATGAATCAAGCAATCCAAGTAGCAAGTAATGCTGTCAATGCAGCTTGCCACGCTGAAGCCCAGTGCCCTGCAGGGGCCCGCAGGTGCTCCGAACGCATGGTGTGACGAGGTGGACTGGCTTGAGTCCCACACGTCCGCAACAGATCAACACGATGGTTGGGAAGCCATGGAAAGCCTCCGATTTGGTGAGGTACCTCCAATGCAGGTGTTTCACGGCATTTGCCGATATCAGACTGCGAGGTTCGCATTAGGAGAATTGGAAGCTTCACCAGCACGCAAGGGCAGCAAGGGGTTGGTGCCTTGTTCACAAAGAATACCAACTTGGTGAGGGCTTTCAGATAGCCACTCCATGCCATTCCAAACACTGGGCATTCACCCCAGCGGTTCAGTACTCCTGCATCGGTGCATGATGCCAGGTTGATTCTGCTAGCTGTTAGCTTGTTTTTGCCAACGAATCAGCAATTAGCATCAATATTGATGGATAGTGTGTTGGTGACAAGAAGAAGGAGCAACAAGAATCGGAATGATAAACCATGCCTGGGATGGGTTCAGCTTGGCCGTCGATTGGCCCACAGCTGAACTGCACGAGCTGGCTAACCACAACTCCTGGGCCATCAGAACATTAAGAACTAAGAACGACACTGAGATCACGGTCGATACTAGCAGCAAAAATCCCACACACCTTGCTAAGAGCCGCAGCGCTTCAGCCACGCATCCGTATATAATCATGTGTGTGGCGCATGTCATGTGTTTGTCACTTTGACTCGGATTTGACGTTCAAACACCTTATAGACAAAAAAGCTTGAGCTTCGGTGTGTTCAATCTTATGCAATGAAGTGCATGAAAGTACCAACAGTACCGCACAAATGTCATGCATAGCCAATCGGCTGCCCAACGTCTTCAATTGGTTTGATTTGGTGGCTTAAGAAAGAAGTTTTGACATCCAGCCTGCATCGTTACTGTAAAATCAAACGAGCATAAATGAGGAACCTGCTTGCTCGATTTCCCACTTGAGCAATGTGAAGCATGGGCCAGACCACCAAATGGTGGCTCTCATGGGCCTTTTTCTTTGCTGCTCCTTCCTTCCTCCTTCCTCAGCGACCCCAACCACGGCGCCACCTCACTGCCCAGCGTGCAGTTTTGGAGATCAAGGATGTCCGCGGCACCCACGATGAACTCCGGACCTTGTTTCAGATTGAGGAGCTCAAAATCGAGAAGGACCGGCGAGAGTAGGCAGTCCTTCGATGCCATGTTCATGTGAGAAAAAAACGAATGGTTTGCAGTGTTCTTGGCTTTGTTTGCCGTTCTTCACATATTGCTTCCGCTGCCGGCCGCCGCCACTGGGTGTGTGGCCTCTTCATGGCCTCATGGCCTCACTCGCCGCACTCCTCCGGACATCCGCCAGGGCCGGAAGGTCGCCGTGGTCGGCGCCAACGGCTGCGGCAAGTCCACGTTGCTCTCGTACCTCTCGGGGCAAGCGACGCCCCGCGAAGGCTCCGTGCGCCGCTCGATGGAAAAGGAGGGATCCGTTGGGAGGAACTATATAGTGAGATCCCGTCAGGGGATGTAAGGGGATTGGGTCTATAGAACTAGAATGAACTAGAACTGAGTTTTTTCATACTATATATAATAATAGTAGTTATGTGTAACTATGTGAGAGACTTGGTTTGCACAGAGAGAAGGCTATCATGCGATAAACTAAAAGAGAAGCCAAAACAAGTCAACCCAAAGCATCGAAATCCAATGATGTTGCTTCTTGTTGATGACGTGCTATTTCTTTAGAGTGACCTGTGTTTTGTTGTCCGGTTCTTGTTGGGGTTGACTCATGCTTGGATTGTTAATTTGTTTATGTTGTTGGCTCGTTGTTTTGTTTTAGAACTGAGCTTCCTTTGCCGATCGAAAAACCTAAGGGGTTCAGATGGAACCAACCTGACCCTGCAATTTGCAGAAGACACAAGCATGTTCCATCATGTTCCTAAAGACGATTCACCCTAATTACAAACAAGCTCCTATCAGTTCTTTGGGAGGACCAAATTCCATGTTTGCCGAAGCTCACTGGGATCTCGTCCACCATCCCTTGCTTTGAGGTTTGAAGCCACGGGCCCACATCACCATCGTGGAGCACCTTGGCTGCCTTGGCCTAGGGGACCGGTGGGGACGACGACTTCGACCCATCCCACAGACCGACTTCTCTCCTTGAACGGGAAATCCACCAATCCCAGTGTTTGGGCCGACTCCCTGGCGAACCCTGCTGGGATGCCAAGGCAAAATCCCACCTTCGATGCAAAGAAGACGGCACCCAGCTCAGTGGATGGTGGATGGTGTGGAGGTTTGTCGAGCGAACAATCCGGAGCTCGTGGAAGGACAGTCCTGGCTCCGCTGAAAGCAGAACACAGTCTTCCAAATCGTCAGATTGAGGAGGGCGTCGTTGTGTGGTTATATATGGTCGTTATATTTTGGCAAGCGATGCACTCCGGTTCATTCATATGGCGTTACTTTGGTGGAAGATTGAATGGTCTTTTTCGGGGTAGATCGTCTCAAGCAACAAAGCCATGCACATGGTAACAGAGACGATCGTTCTCCAGGACGTGAAGCTTGTGCAGGCACCCTTTCAGAGATGGATGATACAAGATCACACGGTTGTTTTCCCAGCAGGTGCCGAAGAACGACGCAAGAATCCATCTCAGTGGGTTCTTGATTTGGGCCAAGAAGTGTCCACTCCTGTGTCAAGTCATAGGCCGAGCTGCCCCAAAGCAGCAACACACAGAAAGAGCATGAAAGAGAATCCACATTCGTGATGTTCATGTTCCACTGCCTTCCACTGAGCATTCCCACAGAGACGTATTATATACTGTAGATCTCCTAACGATACTTCGTTGCTTTGAGATTCAGATCGTGAAAGGAAAACTACAAGGGCATGACCGTTTCTATAACCAAAGGATCCCTTTCGGAATGCCATTCAGCCCGGTGAGAAAAGGGAGATGAAAAAAAGGTGGACGCGCTCCGGTCAGGTTCTGGACACCATCTACGAGAAGTCCAACTCACCGGTGGCCCGTGCCGCTCACGACTTTCGAGCCGCATGCGCGCTAGGCGGGCGGTTTGGGCCTCCCTCGGACCGGAGTGGTTGAATGGACTGGAGGGTCGAAGTTACTGCCCCAGCAGACCTCCCGTTCGAAGGGGTGACATTTTAGGGACCCGAATGGCCATGGCATGGGCCTGGATCGGGGGCGGTGCAGGCCATGGCATGTCGTTGCCTGGTGCGTGATTGAGAATGGCCATGGTGTGGAAGCAGTGATTTGTAGAACTAGAGACTTTGGAAAGACCTCCGTTTCGCTACTTGAACGATGATGTGAGCTTAAATATCATTGCCGGTTCCAGGAGAGGCTGCAATGTTTCGCATATTCAGACCATTGCAGCGATTCCCATCTATACACACATGAGTCAAATGAGCTCAAATGGTTTTTAGATGATTGTAGGTGTTGCACATGTTTAAGCCTAGTGTACTACAAGTCATGTAGATGGAGTGAAGGAGCCCAAAAACTGCTTGCAGATGTTGCATAGATCATGTGTTTTTCATTTGCTCGTATAGATCGCGTGCTCGCTGCTTTGTCACCACTGGGCGCTTCAAAACATGTGGCAGCTTAAGGCGTGGTCGGCCGTTTGGATCGGCTGGTTTCGAGGTGGCGAAGCTTTGAGCAAAGCCATGGACCAGATGGATGCGATGCCCGAGGCGGGGATGAGTCGGATGGGTCCAAACAGGCCAAGGCCAGCTTTGGCAACGAGATGTAGCAAGCAAGCTAGCTGCTAAGACATGCATAAGATACAGCAACAGGACATGTGCAGGGAAATGGGGCCCAAAGTTGTTTTGAAACGTATCAGACAAGACAAGCTCAGCAAAAGAACAACAAAATGCTTGTGGATTCTTCATACACTCGGCTCGCGTTGTTCGTTCCCTTTGTGAGGCCTGGACTTGGGACGAGCAGGTGGCGGAGGTCGCCGAGGCAGGGTCTCCCAACCAAAATCCCAAGAAGCACCAGTGTAGGGCTACCGCCACCGCACCGGTGAGTGTTCTGCCAGTTCTGCTCCAAAATCACTCACTGCAGGAGCTGGGGCTCTCCACGTTACTGCAGCGCCCTGTTGGGACGCTCAGTGGCGGTGAAGAGCGCCGAGTGGCGCTGGCTGCAGCTCTGGTGGACTTGCCTCAGACAGATGCTCGGGCTTGGCTTGGAGCTTTGGATGGCTTTGGAGACGCGCCTCCAAACATGGAATGGAGTTACAGTGGTTTCAGAGATGGCACAAACCCGAGGATGTCTCTTATATATTCTTATAATATGGTGTTTCAGAATCACTCTCGACGGCGACTACTCGTGAAAGGAGTGTGGGTTTTGGGCCCAGTATAAAACAAATCTTGTGAATAGCTGGCTGGCTTGCCCCTCTTTGATCTGGAGAAGAAATCTTGTGGATATTTCGAGCGGACATGAAACTCACATATATAGCAATCAGATCGGTGTAGTGAGGAGATCCTGCCCCTTTTTTTTTGAAGAAGGTCGCTGTTGTTGAAGCCGCTTCGGTGAGATTCCAGGAGCTGGTGGTTCAACCCGCGCACAGGTACTGTAAGTCGTACAGTGGCGGAAATAACACTACATGGATCTCAAGCGCCACGCTCCCTGAAATAATGTGGACCATTTCTTCTACAAACACACGGTGCCATCCACTTCCATGAAGATTTCAAGGAGTGCACTGAAATGGTTGAGTACAAAACCTGAACCAACACGACACAACACGCCCGTCGAGGACTTGCTGATCCTTGACGAGCCACTGGGCCTTGCTTGATGCGGCCGTGGGAGCCTTTGGGCGGATGCTGCTTTTGCTATCTTTTATTCTTTCATTCAAGACATGAGGGTCTACAATGAAAATGGGGTGGTTAGGTAAGTGTGAACATATCAAAAACCGTACGTGAGAAAACCACCTTAGACGTGTCAATGTCGTACCATGTCGTACCCCCCCCCTGTCTAACACGGTCAGGAAACAAACCCTTGCTTTTCATTGTAGACCCCAGATTTGGGATCTACTCTGTTTACCTGAGGTCCCCTTGGAAGTAGTTGCCGGTATTTTGACATTGGAGTGGAGGGTGGGTGCCGCAGAAGCGCACGTGTTCATGTGCTTGAAGCTTCAGCTGCAGCGCACGTCCAGAGTCCAAAGTAATATGCGTCTTATTGCGTCTTTGATTTCTGTACTGAGTGCTTTCCTGACTGAAGATTGTTTTAATGGCCTTTTCCTTTGCCTTCAAGGCCCACGAACCACCTGTCGGCAGAAGGATGCGACTTTCTTCAAGAGAAACTGAGAGCCGCAAAGGATTTGAGCTTGGTGCTGGTCTCTCACGACCGCACCTCGGCTGTGGGTCAGATGAATTGGCAGTCGATAGATGTTCACTTGCATGAGCACCAGAATGTCCGGTTTTGTCTCACGTGAGAAGCATCAACACTTTGCAACAAAACTTTGAGACACAGAACCAGGTGTTGAGCTCCTTGTGTAGCAAGAAAGGCACATGTGACATCGGTCGGTTCTTATTTGTTAGGGAAAATGGCCGTTCCCTTTTTGTGACTTGTTTACCTTAGCGTGCAATATCTTGACAAGGAGGTCGAATGGTTTCGTCAGGCGATGTGCACATCCAACCACCACGTGCTTTGGCTGGAACATTTGTTGACAGAATCCTGTAGTCCAACTCAGGTGCAACCTGTCTTGGGTACTAGGGGCTTTGAATCAATCCCATGCATGACCGCTCCTCCAAATCACAAGCCGCAAAACACCTGTGAGGGTGATCTGACGAGACCAAAGCGAACAAGTTCTCCATGGGCAAGGACCCTTGAACACAGCATCCTTCATGTTAAACAGGCTATTTCCTCGACCGCGTGTGTGACGAGATCTTCGAGATTGATTGGAACGGCGAGACCTTCCTGCATCCCGGCAGCTGGGCCAGCTTTCTCGAGCGCCGCGCCCAGCGTCGCTCGGCTTGCTCGGCGCGCGCGCCCGCGCGTCCCGGGACCGGCTGATGCGCCGCTGGGCCAAAGAGGGGGGAGGGGCCTGTGGAAAAAAGAGGCTGTGCAATTGCTAGACTTGCCATTTGCAAAACCTTCGGTGGCTTTCAGACTGAAGCAGTTGCGGAATCACACATTGCGCTCCGCAAACAAACATGAAGCACCCCATGCTGCCATAGTATGTTCCGGTGTTGGTTGGTCTGCCCAGAGGCTACGCCGTGCCCGTTTGAGGCTACGAGACTCGCGCTGGCCAAGTGCAAGATGCCAAGGCGCGTGAACCGAACAATGGACCCCGAGCCTTTGGGGCCACCAGAACTTCCCACAGCCAGCCTTTGTTTAGAGTCTAGATGAAACATGATGAAATGTCAGAGGTAAACATGTGGGGTGGCACTGCAAAATAAGAGCGTGATGTATCCTGACATGGGAATCCCATTGCATCATATTGCATCCCATACCAGGCTTTCTTACTTCAACGAATGCAACAAGCTTGGCGAAGTCACCAATTTGCTTCCACTTCGATTTGAGCTGTCACATCCCACCCCATGCAAGTGCATTCCCTGGCAGACTCACAAGTTGTCCCTTTTTTGGCCTATGATATCCATTGGCATCCTATGATCCATGCTGTCCATCCGTGTTGTGTCCTCCCCACATGCCTGGCCGACGCAGCTGCGCATGCACCGTGTTGAGGTGCAGCTGCGCCGCGCGGAGGAGTGGGCCCGGCGCGGCGCCTCCGGGCGGGGAACGAAGAACAAGGCGGGAGGACGTGTGGATTTCCTTGAGGGATCCAGGGGACCAATCCTAGGGAAATGTGGGGAGCTCATAACATTTGGGACATCCATTTTGGATGGTGTTAATGAAATCCTTAGATATTTTCAGCTTGTGACCAGTGGAATTTCAGCTTGATCAGCTCTGAGACATCCCTGTTTTGCTTCGGATGGTGTAGCAAGGCCTTGGAGGACCACTTCTAGGTGCTTGTAGTGCACTGGAAAAACAAAGGCTTTAATCTAATCAGGGGTATGCACACGTGCACATGGCCAAATTGCTGTTCTTCCAAGCATCGCCCAACTCATCAGAGATTCCTACCCAAGCCGCTGAAGAGCTGCTTGAGTGTGAGGAGCTCATTGTGAATTGTGCACCGGATGCTCTCAGGATCAAGAGCCATTTTCATGTGGAGAAGACTAGAAGACAAGCCCAATCAAGCCCCGCATGATCCGATCAGTTCCAGTTCTTCGAGGTTAGCCAACCATACCATACCGGAACGGCGCCGCATTGAGTCTTCCCCAGTTCTTTCTCGTGGCATTTGAGTCTTGTTGGCCAAACAATCATGCACATCCAAAATCACAGCGATAAGGACACCATGAGCCACTTGATCAGCACCCAAACCAACCATGTAGAATGTATGTGAGTTGGTGTAAACATGTGTAAACTAATTATGTTTTTCTTACACACCAAGTGCTTTCTTTAAACAGCAGCCGAATGATTGGTCGAAAGAGTCAGGGTGCCCAAAACATAGGACACCTCCAAATGGCCAACCATGGGCCATTCTCCACATATTCTCCATGCTTTGACATCACGCACGTGCTGCACCCTCTGCGTTGAGGCACAAATGATGGCCGTTGATGAGCACCTTAGTGATTTGCACAGGGCTGGAGGGGGAGCAGCCTTTGATTCTACTTTTTTTGTCACTTCCAAAAAGATGTGTTGTGTTCTTGTACTACTCCAGACTCCAGACATCAGTCTGAATGCTGACCGGGATAGTCGTGCTTCGGAACGCTCAGTCCGACCTCGGTCCTTCAGCTACGTTGCTGACGTCGCTTTCGGTAGAAACTGGTTTGGGTGTCATGCCTGGTCGCTGTGAGCAGCTACAGTCAGCCTTTTCTGAGCTGCTTCTTTTTTTTGCATGTGCACATATGTCTACGTGCACATAGCTATTCTTGCTACAAGAGTTTCTAGCCCTTACACTCAGGCTCCGGAATAAAGCAAAGGCAGTGGTGGCAGCTAACGATGGCACGCCGGACCTGCAGAATAACCTGCTGAAGGGGAAGGCTCGGACACTGGAACTCACGAACATGGGAGTGAAACGGCTCCGGTTTGCAGAGCAAAGGAGTCTTCCAAGGGACGATGTTTCACTTCCATGTTAGTGAGTCAGAGATAGTCAGAGTGTAGGTCTGAACCTGGGCTTTGGGTACAGAAGGAACCCCTTCGGCAGTTCCAATCCACCTGCCTACCAACAATGTTGAAAGGATCCTGGCAAGGCCAATTGAGGGATCATATAGAATGCTCTAGACTCTAAGCTCTTGGATCCGTTTGTTGAGGAGGAGGATGATCTTATCAGTTGCTGTAGATGTGTGACAATAACACAAAAATACATTGCTTCCAGTGAAGCAAGTCCGAAAATCATCAATCAGTTTGTCCTGGAGACGAAAGGTCGCCAAACTTAACATGATGCCTCTTAGGTGCCCAGCGTCGTCAACGTCAGCGTCGTCAACGGTCGACTTGTTCCTAGGCTCTCTCGACTTCCTCCTCGGGCCTGGTGGGACGTGTGGTGCTGCAAGATATTGTGGTGGAAGTACCAAATCGAGGAGAGAAAAGCAAACCGGGAGGGAGATGTGATCGAAAGTCACCGTCAAGTCGGTCTAATAATGTCAAAGCACCGTGAATCAAGGAGAAAATAGAACTACACACACCTTGCTGAGCAGAGCAGGTGAAGAATGTGTTAAAGTGTGTGCTTGCCAGGCATTGATTCCAATGTCACTTGCGCAGACACACACACACACACATAGAAACGCGTACTGATGTGAATGCGGTGCCACACGCCAGCCTAAGTGAAAAA